AAAAAGAGCTGCCGACGGGTGCGCGTCATTATTGCTGTAGGGGGGAAGATGGATGGGTAGAAGAATTTACGTCCGTATACGACAAACCGTTGTTAACGGAAAACTATTCTGAACAAAGTCCGGCGACGTAATATACATGTTTTGAAATGCTGTAATTTTTACAGTTATTTAGAGAGCTAAATACAGAAAAAAAAAAACAAAAAAAAAAATGGTCAAAGACGAATTTGAAAAAAACGTCAATTATTTCTGAGATACTGAATGTATTATCGATATTTGATCGCCCAGTATATAAAAGAAGAACCCATACATAGCTACGTATAGGAAATTAGTCAAATTTCTTTTAAAGCCCTTTTTTATTTATCAAGTCATAGATAATATTATATAATATTATCTTTGGTAACCTTTGGCATACACATAAATACATTTAAAAACGACCAAACAGTTCAGTTCTGGTTCTTTTTTTTTTTTTTAGCGATGCGGTAAAATTCAGTAGAAAAAAACCGAACAAAGTGGCGTCTTATCGGTTTCTATTGGTTTGTTAGCAATTTTTTTATTTTATTTTGTGTCTTTTATAATATAACATTGTAATTAATTAATCTAACCTTCATTGACGTACATATAATAAAATTAATCGTTCGTATTTTTTTTTTTATTCTAGATTTTACAAGTGTCAAGTACTGTTATGTTATATAAGTATTATACAATGTATTTGAACACGTTTTATGATAACACCTAAATCCAATTTGTTTTTAACAGTACGGTCTCGCGATTTAGTTTTTATCTGTTTCTTAGTTTTTTTAATTTAAAAAATTGTTAATCTCCATACCACGTCATTATTATGGCGGATAGTTCAATTTTTATCAATTTATATCAACCTCTAAACGTATTAAAAAACCACACGTTCTCCAAAAACCGCTGCTGCTCCCGCTATCCAAACAAACTCGTTATGTTTCAATATTTAACTTAAATGAACCGTTCTTAGGAGATGATAAAATTGTTTGATTACAATAATAACAGATATACGTAAAATTATAAAACGCAAATTGTATTAATAATAAAAAAGCAATAACATCGTGTTAAAATTATAATAGTAACAATATAAGGAGAATACAAATTTTGCAAGTAATAACAATTCCACTTAAATAGTCGTCACTAGTACATTCGTATGAATAAAATTGAAAATCCGATTTCGATTTATGTTTTCCATTGTTTCGGTATGTATTATACATAACCTCGTTCCAATTAGAAAAGGTTACAAAATCTTATTTTTAAAAATTGGATTCAATAAAGATATCACTGTTTGATTTCGCGAGCACTTCTAATGATAATAATTTGGACAAAATCGATAAAAACGGTATACGAAAATGGACACATATTCACGGTACACACACCCTACATAGGGATGTTTTCGATTGAATCTCTACGTGGTCGTTGGGTCTTAATGGGTAGCCGCCATTCAGATATAACTACCACAATTTTGTTACCTGGATACCTGGTTCGAAACCCGTTCACTGGGGTATGTTTTTCGGTTTTTTTTCACATTTTTTTTTCAGTTTTTTCCCTCTGTTTCTGTTACAGATTTTTTTTTTATTTTCGACATAAATTTTGAAATTGTCGAATAATCATCAAACTCCAAAAATCAATAATTATTTTATAATCGAAATAAACAAAATACAGTCCAGGGTTGGTAATACACGCGTATACAACGTTTTATACGTTTCACGAATAATACCCTACGTATATAAAACGTATTAAGTGACAAAACCGTACACAATTTTATAACGGCTGACATTTTTTTTTTTTTTATTATAATAGTGATTATGCTGTACATTTTAAATTTTAATATGTATTTAATCTTATTAATAAATATAAAAAAATAATAACCAATTATTTTTTGGTATTTTAAATATTAATGTAGTTATTAATAAAGAATAAAGATGAACTTAATAATAAATATAACAAATTATCACATATATCTTAGGTTATTTGTATAAGATATACAAAATGATGTTTAAATTTAATTGACAATTATTTTTCCTAGAAAATTTTTTGTTCGATTGCAGCCAAAAAAAAAAAAGAAAAAAAAAACTGCATACAGTATAAAACTTACTTTTTACACAACTTATAGTTTTATACATTTTATGCATACGTGTAATGCGTGTTCTATACTTTGCTGTATAAAAATGAGCGTGCAGTTTTGTCAATTAATACTAATAATACAATTGGAGTTTTATTTCAAACAAAACAATAGACAGACAAAATTTCAATTTTTTATATAATATTAGTAATTTATAATTTATTTATTTATTTATTTTAGTACAATCTATTAAGATCGTCAATCATACGAATGTGTCATTCAGCGTTTAGCAAGCGTATATATAGTTAAATATAAAAAAAAAACACAATTTTACGTACAACATACTCGTAATATAATATAGTATTTAACATAATTTCCCAGTAGAGAATAACCAAAAAATAATCCCCGTGTAAAAAAAAAACTCCTTCAATACCAGTAAAAAATAAAATATTTAATAACGTATATGAGAATAATCATTTAAAATAATAATACCTTCAACAGGAATGATAATGTTTACGTTCAAGATTTTTTATTGCTTTCACATTCCGATATTTCAACAAGTTAAACAAACATTTTTTTTTTCTCACCTTTTGGCTATAAAAAATATTACGTAAGTCGAATAGCCTGTATTAATTTCTTTTTAAACGGGCGCTGTTTTAATACCTACCTATTATCGGCGAAAACGATAAGACTTTTTATTCCAATAATCTGTTAACTGACGTAAGCGATTCTGTACGTACTTGAACGCGCGTATAAAGATTAAAAAATATCCGATGGTTTAGACCACCACAGTGGTGCGCTAGGCCACGAATGCACCTGGGGTACCCCAGGCCCCGAGATCAACATAATATTCAGTTTAACTACGGACCTGTACTTGTTCCTGTTAAACGGGTATCGAACGTGGATTAGTAGAAAAATCTTATCATTTAAGGCGGTCGTTAAAAGACAACAAAACCGTTTACAGAATTGGGAAAAATCTGTAGAACCGCTGTCAGCCTCCCCTCTCCCTTAATCTGTATCTTTATTTGGCCGCCTTAAGGGGAGTCTTCAACTCACCGCGTCGTTTCGTTTCGCGTGAAATACTCTTTTGTGATTGGCTCATATTATCATGGTAAATACATTTTTCCACCAAGACGTTACCACGGACACCGCAGAGTTGAATAAATTCAATTTCTGAACGTGCTGGTTATAGCTGGTTACGTCATTTTCGTGTTTTCATTTTAATAATAAATTAATTTGGTATTTTAATTTTCATTTTTTATAATTTGATTTAAAATTAAAACTAAATGCGAAATAATATTCAAATTTAACACTAGTTTAAATACAATATCTAAAGTTATAACTATGTAAACGTAAAATGTACATTTTTTTAGATATATATATATGTATGCACTTTATGCAAAAAGTCTGTTGCATTAAACACTTTACACAACCGTGCTTATGATATAAAATCACAAACTAGCATACAAGTTAATACCATTGATTTTAAATTCAGCACCTACTAGTAGATAACGTTACTATCGAAAAAATCAATACATAAGTAACTAAAATTAAGCGAAATAATTTTGGCGTTTTTACTATTATCCATTAGTTAACCGTATAATGCACGCAAACTGTATTAACAAAGTGGATACTGTTTAGGCAATAGTTCAATGGCATCGTTTTTCTTGACAAGAAATAGTATGAATGATAAAACGAACCCGAAGAAATTGTAGACGGTGATATGCTGATGACAAAATAACGATAAATAGTCATAGATAATATAGTATAATAATGATTTTTATACATTCAAGACAAATGTGCGATAATAATTACCGCGCAATTTTCGATGAACGGTAAATTCATAGTGATGGTGGGTGATAATGTTGGTTGTTGATTGATAGAACGATGGGTACAAATTATTTCGTGCGCCGTTTGTAAATAAAATTATAATCGAAAAATTAGTCCGATCGGCGATCTAATCAAGCGTTTCCAAGGAGAAACGTGCGTCCGCGATCGATGAACGGGCTACGCGTAAACTCCTACGGAAATTGCCTTTTTACCTGTATTTGAAACATAGTGTGAACTCCTTTGCCGTATCTTTTTACCTGGAAAATATAAATGGTGTTATCTCCTTCACAGTCCGTTTTACAGTTGAGATTCTGAGTGCAGCGAGGAATGTATATTGGTTTTACAATGATGTTTATTTCAGGTAATTGTACTGGAGTTGGGAAAGGCGTGCGGTTTTACGATTACATTATTTTAAACAAACACGCACGGCGTGTTTTATACGAGAAACAGTTCTCTCTTTTAATAGAAAAATGACGAGAGAAATTTTTTGTTGCATTTTGGATAATACTTTGCATAGAGACTTACGAATGTAAGATAATAAAATTTAGTGTACATATAAACATGACGCGTTCTCGAACATTTCGATAACGTCGATGATATTTCCGTAAATTGAAAATACAACAATCTCTAACTCTTATTTTTGTAATTATGACTGATTGATAAATGTTATAATAATTAGAAAAAAAAAAAAATTATATTACAACATATTGCTTTTGATTTTTATAGTTTATGACGGACATTTAGTTATTTTAAAATACCTTATTTTACTTTTTACAACTCGGGAATTCAACGCCGACTTAGAAGCTAACACTACATTTTGTAGGTGATTACATACTTTTGTAGAAATTTACCGTCCCCCTAATAGAGAGTCATTACAATAATTAATTAAATGACAAATAAACGTCCTAGGGTAATGGAGACGGGCGCAGCCACTGCTATGGATAATTTGATAAATACCTGTAAGCAACGATAAACCGTTGCTTAACAAAAAAAAAAAAAAAAAAAACGATTCTGAGCTTTTTTTTAATTTAAAATATTTTGTTTAATTTTAGTGTCAATACGAAGTCCACCGACGCGCCGGTACGGCGGTCCGTCATTTTTTATCCTCCTTGGTGCTTTTGTCGCGGCACAAGAAACGCATGATGTCCTTACAGCCGTTGAACAGCCCGCAGTTACGCCGGTTACCGGACCCGGTCACCGGCAGTGCGTCGATGTACCGCTGCCGGTCCATGTTGTACCGGTTTTCAAGCCGGTACACGCTGGCGTACATGCCGGCGATCGTCAGCGAGGAATGCCCGGTCGCGGCGCCGCCGCCCAACCGCCGGGAACGGATCATCTGGACAATGCACTCGTCCACCCGGTCCGTCGTCTCCGCGAACCGGTTCGCGAGGTACTTGCGCTCGGCGGCCGGTATACAGTCGCAGCGGCAGTCGGCGCGCAGCTGCCGGACTTTCTTTTGCGCGGCCACACGGAGCAGGACAAGGGCCTCCAAGACGTTCGCGCGGTGCCGTCGCTCCAACGCCGTCTCGCCGGACGCGCACTGGCGGCCGTCCAACGGCAGCGGCTCCTCCAGCGGCCGGTCCTGGTCGTCCGCCGCGTCTTGGCCCGCGCCGGCGCCTTCCACGTGGGGTCGCAGGTTTTCGGAAACGCAAGTGTCCTCGCTTTTCGTGTTATCGCAACTAATCGAATAGGTCAATTGCTTTTTCTTCTCGGTAACCTGATGCAGTTTCGTTTCCGCGATCATTTCCTCGTCCGATTCCACGGTCTTTTTCGGTTTCATAAGTTCTTTTATTCGTTTTTTTTTTTTTTTTTTTTTAAAATACCTACTATAATTTTGTTTGTATTGAATTGAAAAAAAAAAAAAAAAAAACTTCTTTAATTTTATTATCGTTTGTAATAACTGAATCTTATGATTTTTATTTATAAAACGAGTATCCAAGGTATGTAAAATGTACGAGATTCAATAAAAATCACGCAGTTTCTATTCTACAAAAAAAAAAAAAAAAATAATAAAAACTAAGGATCGAATAAAGGAGTCGAGTTCAAGGTCGATACCTTATGACAATTGGTTAAATTATTAGCACAACTTTTCTCATATAACTTAAAAAATACGTCCTAGGATATTGGGAATGGGTGTAGCCACTATTATAAATAATTGCATGTATACCTGTAAGCAACGATAAACCATTGCTTACGAAAAAACGATTTTGAGCCGAGTTCAATTGATAGTGATTTTTTATATTATAGTAATATAATTAAGTAGGCTCTATATATTTTCGTTAATAATATTTGTTTAATATTATACTGCTTTTCCCAGTTTTCCCATGTTTTATCCCGGTTTTTCACACGAGCTGGAAAAACTCATGGGAAAATCGAAAAATGACCCCCCTAAAATACCTTCTCAGTCAAATTTCTTTTAGAAAAATTGCCATCATTATAAATTGGAGCTAAATTGTTTGTTGAAAAGTTGTTCACGGAAAAAATAAATGCAGTAATATATTTTAATTAATACCTAGATTTTTTTTATATTTTCCCGTTTCCCTCAGGTTTGTTTCGGCTGTTCAAATTTGATGAGAAAACTCCTGAGAAAATCGAAAAAAGACCCCCGTAAAGTACCTCCCCACACCGAATTCCTTTCAGAAAAAGTGCTACACTTAGAATCTAAAACAATATTATTTTAGTTGGCATTGGTACTGTAGACAATGTCACGTGCACGGGTCGCAACTTATCAACAGATGTCAGAATAAAAATAATTCTGTAAAAATTTCAGGACTCTATGAATATTTATAACCGAACGGCAATAGAAACAATAAACCACGGAATAGATAAAAACAGAAAGGACACTCAAGATGGCGGAAACAAAATCGCGACAGCAATCGTCCGAATTCGCGAAATTCTCATCGGTTATCATTATTTGATAAACATGTATTGTATGAAAAAGGCCGCAGGGGCCGAGCACGTTTGACAATACCGAGCCGGGGCTTAGCCCTTTTACGTTGACGGTTATGCAAACCGTATTCGCAACGCCGGAATACCGGAGTTTTCAATCACGTTTTAAAAATTCCGATAAAATTAATATTATTGTTGTTTGACGAAATATTTGTAAAAATTGGTACCTGTTAGCACGCGCAAACTTATTCATAACGCGGTTATAGATATTTGAGGTTCCACGTGGTTCACACCACGGCAGTAATACGCAGAGTGCATATTGGTGACAATAGTTTCTTCTAGGTCAAATTCACTCGCGTTACCTGCGAATTAATTTGCAATCGAATGACGAAAACCATTCACAATAGGCAGCCGCTGTTTGTATTTTCTTTCGTATTCTTTGGAAAAATCTTCAGAATTAAAAAAGCTCAACAGTTTCAAAAGCAATAGGTTCGGTCCGCGTAGACGTTTCAAAAACTGGACGCCTGTGCAAAAACAGCTATGCGTTCCTCGCTGCACGTGCCCAGAATCACAAACAGGCACCCTAACCAAATTTTTGTTTCTATACCTTTATCGTACACACCGCAGGGCAATAAACGAGCATACTAATTTTCCGTGCGAAACGTACATTATTTATTCAAATATTGTATATAAATTATTAAAAAAAAAACCCGAAACTTCTAAAAACCTCTAAACCATACATAATATATTATAAAAGAGACGTAGTATGATAATTTCGTTCGTTTGACATAAAATCCAGCACGAGAGTGGTATGGAAATTTACGTCACGCTACAGAGATTTCAAAATGCGATACACGAAAGTGCACGCGCGGTTTTACATAATATTTTTATATACACTGTGACGATGCGTATCGAACAAAAACATACATTTGGGTTTTTTAATGATTCCTGTTCTCGGTAATTTTTTTTTTTTTTTCACATTAACATTATCTGATGTGTACATCATAATATTGAACATGAAGGGCGCGGAGATTGAAAGTATAATGGTCCGTTTTCTTTTTTTAAATCGTTCAGCACTCAGCGGAGAAAAAATTCTCTACACTCACACGCGTACAGGTGCATGCAAAATCGCGTCGAGATTATTTAACTACAGAAATATAACATAATAGTTCTGTATACATGTTTTGCGTGGTCTGCAATATTTAGCGAGATACTATACGTGTTATCACTTAATGTTGTCAAATGGCGATGAATTAAAGGCTGAAATATATATTTCAGTAAAAGCGTTTTGAAATTTCGTAAAAGGATTCACGGCAAAAACAGGACATGTTTACTACATATTTTTAATAGCTGGCTACAACAATTATCAAACTACGGTAGTCTCTCAAATAATATTTAATGTTCTTTCAACTTGTGTGACCGTTACTATTTCATCAAATATACATTCGAATTTTCAAGAGCCCCGTATTTATGGATTCTGAGGGGAGCGAGGAATGTATTGATTTTATACTACGACGTTTATATATATATTTTTTTTTATATGGTCAACTTTTCTATCAGAAATTTTGCTCCGATTTACAATGATAACATTTTTTCGGACTGGGGTGGTAACTTTAAGGAGGTCGTTTTTTGAATTTCCCGGGAGTTTTCTTAATAAACGAGAAAAACCGGTAAAAAACGTAGGAAAACCGGGAAAATAGATAAAATATTAAATAAAATATGTAATTATTTTACCATATTATGGCATATGTACTGTTGACGAAATAACGCGAAATAATCAACCGAACTCCGGTCAGAGTCGTTTTTTCGTTAGTAATGGTTTATCGTTGCTTATTACGGGTAAAATACATTACATTTCCCCCCTCTTATCTTCCCAACATTTCATATAAAACGATGGCTGAACACGTCCCGAAAATCCTAGGGCAGATAGCTTTTTTTATTTCGTTTTACGGCCGCATTAGATACACACATAAATCGAATATTATTACCGCATGCCGTTGCCGACAGCGGTCCGCCCGCGTCCCGCGGTGCAATGTACCGGTGTCGACTTATCACAATGTTCGTTTTAATGTTATGAAATATTATTATTCGGTCCGATAAAACGTGTCGTCATTCGTAGTGCAATCGGGTAACGTCCCGTGACCTTTTTTTTTTTTTTTTTATCTTTTCACCAGTCCTCGTCTACGCCGAATGGAAACCGTACGGACCCGACGCACTCCTTAACTCGCACATCCGTACGTAACGTGTGCGTGCGTGCGTGCGTGCGTGCGTGCGTTCGTGCGCGTGCAAGCGTGCGACTGAGAATTTTCGGGCCCGGGTTCTGTACACGTGCGGCAGGCAAACAAAAACCGAGACGGATGCAACAATAATAAGGATATCGTACGAGATAGAGGCGCGTGTCCGTGCGACGGTCGTTAAATTTTATCGTGTTTTGTACCGTGGCTCCGCGCTACGATAAAATATAATAACCCGCCCGCATGTGTACGCGGTGTCGTTGCGCAGGAAGCGCGGGACTCCGGGACGACGGAGAGGAAGGGAGGAAGAAAAAACCGTAAAAAATAATAATAAAATAATAAACACTGCGCCGGAAATTCGAAAACTCGAGATTTATATACACCCGCCACCATTACATTATGATACAGTCAGGTTCCGTGCAACGGAGAACCGAGAGAAAAAAAAAAAACACAACACACTGTACATTCGGGCATAACAATAATATATTATTATTGTATACACCTACGCGCGCCGTCGTTGAACGCCCGGCGAGTCTTTCGTTTTTATAATATTATTGGCCGCGGTATTTTCTCCCCGGAAATCTCGCACCAATCGCAAAATAACGAGAGAAATATTTATTATTTTTTTTTTTTCTCTCGTTACGTTTCGGATCTATAGATGGCGGCATAAAAGATATCGGGGTTTTGATTTCCCGAGTGGTTTTCATAACAATTGGAAAAAACCGAAAAAATAAAAAAATACGAAACGGACAAATTTACCGCGTATACGTATATCATTACATCGTACGATAGTTTACGAACTGCGTTCACTGCCGGAACACTCGCCCCGATCGAAAAATGCCAAAAGGCCTTTTCTTGTCGCGTTGCAGATTTGTTTTTAAAACGTAGGCAGCGTGGCAAATGGGAGGCTGAAGTAAAAAAAAAAAAAAAAATAAATAAATAAACACCGAGAAATATAGCGGAGATTTGAGAACGCCATGCATTTATGCATCCGTCCCTGTTATATGGGTTCTCGAAAAGCCCCAAAATCAGGGGCCGAAATACATATACTGCCTATTATACAAATCATACATATCACTTGTTCTCCTCGTTTTTAGAGACTTGAGAATCAATTTGATAATGTGGCATACACAGGCTTTAAGTATCACACACTGTACAGCGTAGTTACAAAGTTGCGTAGTTTATACCATTATCACGTACAGTTTATATCGATTAAAAAATAAAAATGGACGGACATACTTCGCACATGGGTGCAGCCACTGTTGTAGGTAGTAAGTTGGAAAGCTAGGCTACTGACGGGAATTCAATGTACATCTGCAAGCAACGATAAACCATTACTAGCGAAAAAACGATTCTGAGCGGCATTCAGTTGATAATGTTGCTTTGTCGAAATTACAATGTATGGTATATGTCGTATTATGGTAAAATGGTCACAACAATGTGCGTTTCAGTGAAAACAATGATTGTTTTTGAAAAAAGATTAAAGTAATAAAAACTTATCAATAACACAAAAATAAATAAAAACGGTTGCCAATGACAACCTTATTTTTAATCTTTCAATCTTTTTTAACCTAAAGACCGAGGTTTCTCTCAAACATTAATGAGTATTTAAAAGAATAACTTCTGTTAAGTATCACCCAGAGAATATTTACTTTCAGATAATACTTTGTTCAATTATCGGATTGCGCTTTCTGGTAGAACAAGTGTTCACATAAAAAAAAAAAAAATAAATAAATAAATAAATATCATTGTAAAACCAATGCACTTCTCGTTTTACTCAGAATCTAAAACATTTTTTTTTTTTTTTAGTTTTATCTGTTATCTTTTATAATTTATTTAATTTATATAAAACGTATTTGTTAATAAAAAAGAAAAAAAAAAGCAACTAGTTACTACTCATTTATTGTAATTTTTTTTCCTTATCAATCGGGTAGAAGTAAGTATATAAGTCATAGGTGAGTACAGTATTATATTATATTATTATCTATGGTATAAGTATTTCGATGGCAATGCTGTGATAAGACATTTATTCAAATGAGCGATAATAATATGGTGTCCATTATGGGATACCATACAGCTCTGGTTCATCATAAAAACGTGCATTGTACATACATACACACTCATATATTATATGACACTATAAAAATACGCAGAGTTATAAAAAAAATATTATATATATTTTGAATGTTTATCAAATTATTTAAAACGTACAGGTCCTTATATAAATTATAAATGTATTTTATACAAGACGATACATTTATCGTAAGAAAATTGCGTAGCGACTTACTTATTTGTACCTTCTCTCGTACATACGCGAAGCGGTACAAATTTTGGCCTCGAAATTGAAATCCATCATACTCCCGCTGGATCCCGACGGGGTACAACTACCGAACACTTTTTTGTCCAATTCGAATCCCATATCTCTCAACAGTTTCGACGATAGTCCTCTCACCGCTTTCTTTCCTGCTCGACCCCGGTTCTGAAACAAACGAACACGGTGAACATATGGTAATTCGAATTAGCTCTGTGAAAACTTAATGAGCTTTACCACCTCGTCGAGCTTTACCGCCGGGTTTCCAGTTCCGTTATTTTTCATTTTCGATCCGGCGTTCAGAACATTGCACAGTGACTTCTCGTTATCCGTTTTGTTTTTAATGTCCTTAGACTCGCGTTGAAATTCCCTATATTGATGTTCATAACGTTTATCCGATTCGTTCATACGCTGAGTATGTTCGCGCCTCATTCGGACTATTTCGGAATCTTTACTTTTTAACGCTTCTTCCGCGACGGTGAATTTGTTTTCTAAACATTTTATAGCCGATTCATTATTTATTATTTTCTTGTTTCGTTCGTCGATTTGCGTAGCCAAATTTCTGTTTTCGTCGTCCTTCTTTTCCATTTCCTCTTTTAGATCGGTGAACTGAACACATAGACGGCTGTGTTTTTCATTTAAATCTTTTAATTTGGAATGTAATTCATTATACTGGCTTTCGTAATTTTCGCGCATTTCGTTCTCGTGTTGAGTATATTCGCGTTTCAATTGCAATATCTCAGAATCTTTAGTTTTTAAACTGTCTTCCTCGCAGGTAACTCTACATTTCAAATCGTTTATAACACACGTGTTTTGTTCGATTTTGCACGCTAAGTTTACATTTTCATTGGTCTTAATTTTCAATTTATCGTTTAAATCGGTAAACTGTGACAATAAATCTGCGTAAGTTATGTTTAAGACCTTTAATTGGTCTTTAAGTTCGCCACACTCATTATATTTTTCACGCAATTCATCCTCACGTCTATTAGATTCGCATTCGATATTGAATATCTTGATTTTTGATAATTCTTCCTGGCATTTTGCTTTGGTTTCCAATTCTTTTATAACATAATTCCTCTCATCGTTTATTTTGGTTTGCTCGACAAGTTTTTCATTGCGGTCTTTTAATTTCTCTGATAATTCATCACACGTATATTTCATAGATTTTGTTTCAGACTGTAATTTAATTATTTCTCTAGTAAGTTCAGTATTATCAAGTTTCGTTTGGGCTATCTCGACATCTTTTTTTGCTAATATTTTTTCCATACAAAGTATTTTTCTCTGCAGAATTTCTTTATCTTTAGTTACGTTAATGCATTTATCGTCAGTGTTCTTGTTCGTTAGTTTTATTTCTTCGTATTTTTTGTACGCGCTGTCTATCTCGCATTTCAATTTTTTTCTTAGTTCATCGTACTCAGTTATTATATTACATTTTTCATTGAGTTGCTCTTTTAATTGCAAAACCAAATTATTTTTTTGTTCAATAATGTCGTGTATCTCCATCGCCAATTCCTTGCAATTAACAGTCAACATCTCTTCGGTTTCGGTGTTTTTTCCGACGGTGTTGCGTAATAGATTTCTTAACAAATCCATTTCTTTTAAATTACTTTGTTCACGAAGTGTATAGTCCTTGATCTTGTTAACATAACTAGGCACACATGATTTACATATTTATGTACGATATTATATTATGTATTATATAAATAATAGTAATATTATGTTTAGCATTAAAATACATACTTGTTTTTAACGTTTTCGTAGATTTTCGAGTTATTTCTAATTTTAGAATGTAAACTTTGTATTTCTGTCTTCAAATTGTTATTTTGATCGAAAATTATATTGTACTGTTGTATCGTTTTTTTATAATTATTAATAATTTCCATTTCTGAACAGTTATTAATAAACACCAGTTTTGATTTATATTTTTAACTATTTAAAATTTCAAGAAAATCAATTGTATTAAAGAAATAAGGTAGAAAAAAAAAAATTAGAACAATTATTGTTTCCATGACAAAAACAAAGTGCCATCGATGTCTATTATTCGTAAGGAGTACAATTATTTTTGTTCATATTCTAACCAATACAGCCATTAATTTTCCGGCTTTCACGACGAATTATTTAAAATTAATTTAAATATTATTTTTTCTTCACGTTGATAATATGATAAATATTAAATTTACGATATGTAGGTATTAGTTGAAAAATATTTCGAGCTCTTTTTTTTCCTATGAAAACTTTTATTTAAGCAGTTTTGCTCCGATTTACAATGAAAGCACCTTTTCTGAAAGGATATCGGGAAAACGTAGAAAAAACGATCGGTATATAAAAAAAAATATTATTAAAAAAAATACATAATTACTATTTAATTATTTTACCATAATATGACATACTTATTATTGATAAAACATCATTATCAACTGAACTCCGTCCAGAATCGTCTTTCGTTAGTAAACTATGTTTATTGTTTTGACAAAAGCTAATTTACCTACAATTATTTTTACCACAACTATGTATAATAAGTGTATAATTTATAATGAACCACTTTTTAATCGTAAACTGTCTCATTTTCCCTCTGTTGGTCTCAGTTATCATACAAATTACAAACAAATTTAAAAATAAAATTGGATTATATTAACTAGATTACATTACTTGATAGTCGGAATACTGCTGTTCGGTCAGACATTTTTTGAAAACCATTTAATTAAGTACAATCGTGATTGTTTTCGATTTTGACCGAGTTAAAACGATTTCGGTTTTGACCGAATTTAGCCGAAATCGCTTATCTAGGTTTAAACTGAAATTATTTAACATAACATTATAATGTAATTCATATAATATGTACCTTAAACACCACATACAGCTTGTCGAGTATTAAATTCAGAAATATAAATTTTGTTAATTTTAAACGGATTTTTTTTTCAATAAATTTATCCCACTGTCCTATTAAAATTACTTTGCCCACGGACGCTTGTACGAAATATTTTATTATTACTATAGCGATAGTATTTTTTCTATACACGGCCCAAAATTAATATAATTATTATCCATTTGACCGTACAATGTGTAGGTACCCATAATATGTACACGATATTAAGCAGACGGGAGTATTGTTGTCCTGTTAAAAAATTTAAATTATAATAATATAATACAACATAATCATTATTCTGTTCACGTGATGGCGGACAACGGCCTGTGTACCTGTATCTATAATAATAATTACAATCATTGTTGTGATTCTGTAGAAAAAAAACCATCTTATCGATAACGACTTGATACTTTATTTGATGTTACGATAATTAACAAAATATTATCTTTTCTCTCGATACATACATATATTTTTTTTAACCGCACGGTTTTTTCGGTAATTCATAAATAACAATATAATTAATAAAAAAAAATCATATTATTGTATAGATTTACTATGATAGTAGGTACCTACCATATACCTATACGGTTATATACTATTTTGAATTATTAAATATTCTTGTGTTCCTTAATATTCATCCGTGATGACAGCGATGACATCTAAGATGGCTTTATCACTAACCTTGTTCATATGTCGGTTGATAAGACGTGGTTGTTATTAGTGATCACTGATGTCATCACAGATGAATTAAGGAACTCAAGGCACGTAGGTATATCTTTTGAATCCGAATAAATTATCTTGTCTTCTTAGAATAATAATTTATCTTTGTCTTCGATAAATCTTTAATCGATATCTGCATATTTGTTTTGTTTTTTTTTTTTTGTCATCAAATATTGGTTATCTTTCCTACAATCACCGGCCAGAATAATATTACAGAAAAATAATATTATGTCCGTGGTTTTCTATCGAAATCCATTCCTATGTATAATATATTCCGTTACTTAGAACATAAATTGCGTCGTTTGAGTTAGAGTAGAAACACAAATCACAAGACTTAACTAGGAAAATATTTTCGAGGTCTGTATACACGTTGCAAGTATGTAATTATTCGAATATCGTAACGTGCACTAGTACACAATTCTATTTATAATGAAAAATAATGAAATTTATACCGGATGTCCATTAAATGTTAATGGATAAATTCTGTTAACGATTAACAGGTAGGTAAGTAATTTCATAAAATATGTATTTATACCGCGCAATCATTTTAAAATACCCCGACCGGATATGAATAGCGATCAATGTAATAAGTACCCGTCAATAACATATGAGTGATTATGGGGCAGTATAACAATGTCCACACACAGCCGCAGATCGGTTGAAACAACAACAAAATGTAATACAATGTGTTTAAATGGTATTGACAGCCATTATTAATAGCGGTACAAAACCTACTTCGCAGTTGGTTGGTAAACAGATGTACAATTATATACGACTAGCCGTTACCTTCGAATAATTCGTCTGTGTAGACATTTTTAATGCCCTCCTGTACGGGGTGCATGAAAGGTAAACAGGCTATTGATGTGGTTGAAATGCTAATAATATACCGCAACGTACAGCCGGGTGGTAAACAATAACAATTGCCAATCATTTCCTTTCAGTTATTATGTGGATAAATTAAAATACGTTACATTAAGCAATGATATTACCTGTAATTGTATTAATACAGCTGTTTTTATAAAATAAAATAAAAATAAAAAAACACGATTTTGACTTATTCTTAATATAAGTAATGTGCATCGCCTAAACATTAGAAAAAATAAACAAAGATATTCAAATAGAGGTACTAGAAATCATTGATCATTGGCAACCAAATATGTAAACATAAAAATACGTCGCATTTTATAATAGAAATTATAACAATAACATTAACAAGTCTCGTTCCGTAATTAGTTTTATTATAGTTTCAATCAAGATGTCGGTTATTTTAAAATTTTTGAGGAAACTTTTAGTTGCAGAAGAAGACAATGACTATGACTACCGCAGCTGGTCATCGAGTCAAAAAGAAAATAAAAAGTCGTTTTACGAACGGCAGAAAAAGGTATACTTTACGAAATACTTTTTTAATAGAACGTTACAGTAAAAATTGCACAACTCGTCTAACAGGCTATAAAGCAAAAACTGCCCAACTGTGTCCAATAAACTCAAAAAAAAAAAACATTTTATTTTTTCTATCAAATTAAAGACGCAATAACCATGTATTCACATAGGTTTTTTTCTTGTTTATTTATTTGCATTATACAGTATAATATGACATTTTAATCTTAATGATATTATTATAGTTGAGTACATAAATATTTTTTTCTTTTGAAATTATCACTAAATATCATTTTTTTTAAAACTTTTCCTAGATATGTCGACCACCAAAGCAATATATTGATGAACAAATAGAAAATATACAAACACCGACAGATGATCAGGTAACTAAATTGAAAACTATTTTATATAAATTACAATGGTGTATTTAGGACTTTTCTGCGCTGGGTAGTTAAGCCAACTATTTCCTTACGCCCCATCCTCGACTTTTATGTGGTAGTTATATGATAAAATCCACTTCCGTCGAGTGAGGAATAAAACAAAAACTAAATATGAACAATAAAATAATATAGAAATAAAATATACATTGCGAATCAACTTACGATTACGATTAATTAATAAAATAAGTACCTCCTATTGCCCAATCACGGTATTGATAAGGATATTTATAAACGTACACACAGTTTAAAAATTTGACACAAAATATGTAAAAATGATATGCACAAAGTATACCCCAGTCACCACACACGGTTTTACTGCATTCAAACAATATGGAAGTAGAATATCATACTGTACATTTGTTTTCGTATTTTTAAGATAGCGTAAGTCATGATTGAACAAATTGTATTTGTCACGATGTTATTTTAGAAATTATATTATTGTAATATTGTACATTGTAGTTATTTGATAGTAGGTTTTCGCCGCAGTCCCTCCGAGTTTAGAGTGGACCGTGCATTTATTGGAAATTAATACGCCTTCGTAAAATAAAAACAGAATATTCGTGGAGTATAAATTAAACTGCTGTCAGTGACGTCATTTTAGTATTTGTGATAGGGTTGACAAAAGATTTGGCAATTGAATTTTTATTTCGATAAAAATACCCTTCTAACGTCATTTTTTACTTACTGTCATAGGCATAAATAGTCTATTTTTTTGAGGGACAAAAATGACTAAATAATGAATTTATAAGTAGAATTTTAAAGCGGTACCAAAATATATTAACTACCCTATGAATAATTATTTTGGGTGAAATTTTACCCCGATTGATGTCAATATTTTGTACGGAGTATAAATGTATCATAAAACATAATGACATGAATTATGTTTGCGGGCTTGTGGCTCAAAACTAGCCCTACACCAAGCCCGAAAATGGTTCGCTGATGACAAGTGTGGGGAGGAAAATGCCTCTCTTTCCTCCCAAATAGTAAAGGTGTTTATTACTAAAACAATTGTTGCATTAAGTAGCTAGAGCTTCAGCCCCCCTTCCAATCTCAAACCCTATTTGTGCCTATGTTCGTTACTAAAAAAAACTAAGACGTTCAATTACATATTATGTTCCGTTTGACTCATTAAAATCCGAGTGTAATACGTGTAATGTACCTTTAAACTCTATTGATCTCCCAAATGAAGTCAGAGTGATAAAATATATTGTATATACAGTATATATTTATATATGAATTGCTTAAGTGTCAGTGTTCAGTGCCTTTTAGGGGTTTAAACTTTACACATCCACCCTTATCCGTTCATTTGAATGCTTAAATTTCATTTTTTTTTTTTCATTTTTATTTGGGTGTAGTATAATTGTATTCACTATAAAAATAGTAACTGTAATAATAGTATTAGTATATATTGTAGGTATATTCTATTGCTGTAATTTTACGAGTATGTATTTGTTATTACAAATAATATTTCTATAATAAGACATACTTCGCATGATGGGTAAACCACTGTTATAGGCGAAAAATGGGAAGATAAAGGGAAAATTTATTGTATATATATACGCAACGATTAACTATTGCTAATGAAAACCGATTCTGAGTGGAGTTAAGTTATACATGTTATGGAAGGTAGCAATATTTACGAATTTAAAATTATACATTTCGTACATTTTCCAGTTTTTACTACGTTTTTTCCATTTATTATGAATACCCTTCAAAAAGTCAAAAAATGACCTCCTCATAGTATCACCTCAGTCCAATTTCATTTCGAAAAAAATGCTACACTTGAAAGTCGGGACAACATTTCTTGTTGACCAGTTGTTTATATATAAAAGGAAAATAACGTTTTAAAACCAACACATACCTCGCTTCACTCACAATCTAGGCAAACGACTCTAGTGATGGAGCAGTCTTGCTCCCGGATGATATTGTAAAATTTTAACCATAACTTTTCTATTATTAAATCATCTTAGTCATTAACTGTGAACTGTAATTGCTTATCCGTAACCTATGCTGATGTCTGTTTCAAAAATTAAAGACGCTAAATATTCAATAAGATACTTTTTATAGGAATACGACTTTATAATATTATAAGGTTTTATTTATTCGTATGGCAAAATTATAACTTCATAATGAAATGATATTCCTATCACATAATATAATATGTATACTGTAATATATTAATGTATAGTACAATATATTATAATTAATAAATTATTTTTAGTCATTAGATGAATCAAATGACTCTATAGCATCAACGATTAGCGCAACAGACCAACCATCACCAACAGTCTCCCAAGACGAATTGGATGAAAAACCAGCCACAAAATACTGGACTGAACAGAAATGCATGGGATGCGTGGAAAAAGACTATTTAATGATGCAAACCTGCAATGAAATGAAACGTTTGAATTTGGAACTTAAAAGGGACAGTTGTTATAAATTTAGTTCATGGTGAAACGTAGTAAATGTTTATAATTAGTTGTTTTAATTTTTTTTTTTTTTTTTTTGAAGAAATTATGTTTAAGTAGCCTTTGTGTATTGGGGTCACGATTTAAATCATTGTGTTTTTTCAATACGACGCAGGTACGAAGGAAGCAATGGAACATACATCTTTATGACAGCATCTCATTAATTATAGTCCGTGTAACGTTTTGATTCTTTTACTTAAAATACGGAAATATATTATGTTTTCACGCTGGTATGAGTTCAAAAATTAACGGTACCTTTACTTATGCGGATGGGGGTGAATATAAGTCCATTACTTTTGGATTAGAGTTTAAAATCCTTTACTTTTAGATCCAAGATATATATACGATTTTATAGAGAAATTAATATTATTTATGCATATTTATTTACTTATCGAGGGTTGTTGGTCAAACGTTTTTATTTTAAAGTGTAGTATAAATTATTACAGGTATAGTTCATTAGATATATTGTATTAATTTGAATATTCTTAATTAGAAATTTCCCACAAATTGGTGCCATTTACATAACAAGCTAGACATAGACCTGCGTTAGACGCTACAAGCAATGTAGCAGGCTAATGCACAGGAATATATCGTAGAATAGTTAAGTAATCAATGTTTGTGAGCATGTAAATGATTTAAGTGCATATACAATTTCCATTTTATAAAATAACTAAATATACTCGTTTTGCTCTAACCGAAATAGGAACGATGACAATATGCTCTAAAGTCTCAATATTCTCTTTATATTCTCATAGAAATGTAAAAAGTCTTGTTTATTATGAAAAATAATCGATAACATCAAAATATGCTAATTTAAAAAAATATAACATAAAATATTTTTGTATTTTTATAAACAGAACATTTGTGAATTTATGATTATCTTATTTTGCATACAGTTTTAATATACAACTAATATTTTACAAATTTTTATATTTTTGGGTCTCGATTTTATAATACTGAATGTCAGCTGTTGACTGTATTTGCATCATTATTAGTGCTTGGAAATTTCATGCAATATTTCAATATTTTGTTTGTATTATATTATTTTTACTAATATACTTTTTTTACCTACCTCCTTTGGACATTAGTGATTGTTTTCTTTAATGTTTTCAATTTACTAGAGTATTTAAATTTTATTATATTAACAATATTAATCGTTAATTAACTTAAACTGCATTTATGTTTGTATAAGTAGCTAAGAAACACAAATTATTGAAATGAGCAAAATGTACAGTTACTTAAAAACATTAAAATATTAATAGATATTCTAAATAAAACAATATTAATTGTAAGTAACATACATCTCTTTATGTCCCCTCCAACTTTTTAAATTTACATTTTTTTCTTATACATTTGTATGTATTTTTAAGACAACCCTCAATGAGACGTAAACAAAATCAACTGAGGATAGTGCTTGTAAGACATCTCGACAGTTAATCAAAATAAATTTAAAACAATTAATTTGTGTGGGTCACTATTATAAGTTGGTAATTGAAAATATACGATACACAGAATAATTTATTTTATATAACATATGTAAAGTTAAACAAAACTCGATTCTGTGCCTCTAAGATTATTGTCGTGTTTTTCTCTTGTTGCTAACCAAGGTAAGAAATTAATAAAAAGAATTTAAAGAGTGAATTTTTAAACGGTTATTTAATATATTTTTATTATTTTTTTTTGTTTGGTTCAAATACAAAGTTAAACGAACATGTACTCTATTAATACGCTTATTAATAAGCTAATAAATTATTAAAAGCACGACTATTTCATTTATTTTATCATTTTATAAAAGTTAAATTTGTCAAAAAATACAAAATAAAATTACATTATAATATTACAACCAGTATAACCTAAAACAAAATATTTCTTAAAGAAAGAGATAAGTTGTATCATTTACTGGTACCGGGTAAAAAAATTATATCAATCGAAATCGCAGCCCCGGCTATAGCTATAACAGAATCGTATCGATGTCGACGAAAAAAGGGTATAATGAAATTACTTATGCACACAGACGCGTACGTAATTATCAAGTAGGTAATACTATTGCATGTGTCCTCAAGAGGACGCTTAAAAAAACCAAAAAAAAATCGACACGGGTGGCAAGGGTTTTTTCAGGTCAATCTCACGGGTGAAAGGTGAAATAATAATAAAAAAAAAATCTTATTAGATTGTCATAAGTGGAGGTCGGGAGCCGTGTATTCCAGCAAAATTATCATACTTCCCCTGAAATTTTTATTTTATTTAATAAGCCAGGCTTAGTAAAGAATGATGTGCTATCATCAAAATACCGCAGTGCGCCGTTGACTATAATAAAATAATATTAAGCTGACGAAAACCGTTCCCGCAGAAAATAAATTACTCGTGGGAACAAAACGGTTCGCTTTATTAAAAATAGAAATCCCTGTGGATTTCACGAAGGATTTTAGACGTTCCAAAGTTTTTTCGCTTACGTGAAAAATGTTTATAGTGTGCTATAAAAATGTTTAGCAAATGCGGCGGTGGCAGCGACAGTAGTTTCATAGCCAAGACCGCGGAATTTATAAGGGCTATAAACTCGTCCATTATTTTGTTAGACTTTCGGATGGTTTAATAATTTTATTTTTTTATTTTTTTTCATCACCCTCCTGTTGTTTACGATATTAAACAATTTGCTTTGACCTAGTTTACAGATGTGGTATATTATATTTTTCACCGATTGAAAAAAAATGGCAATTTAACCGTACCCTGTAGTAGTACAGGTTTAGCCCAATCATTGGACTGTCAGGTGGGGCGAAAAACGTGAAATATGCAGGCAAAAGGGAATAAGAATATTTCGTTATTTATTTTTTTTGAATTGAAACCGTGACGATAAATCATTCCCTTTTTGTATTCGAAAAAAATACCTTTCCAGACGGTATGTGGGATTAAAATTTGTACGCTCTCCTGTTTATAGTTTTCACTTATGGTTCGGGTTTCCGATGTTTTCGCATCAGTGTCGAACAATTGAAAAACGACCCGTCCATAAAAATCCTATCCATCAGTATATTCAATTTAAAGGTATAGGACGTAGGTATACCATGCCCATCAATCTATATTTTAAGTCACTATAATACTGCGCGAAACCTTTCACTATCCCTATACAGAGATTTTACCGATAAAAAAAATAATAATAAAATCACATCATCCAAAATTGAATAGCAACCGCACTGCAGAGAAAATATGAAATGTAATTTTTAAAATAATAAAAAACATACGAGTAGTTCAATCGAAATACCGGTAGCGTTCGACTTTTTATTATTATATTATTTTAGATTCTGAACGCAGTGATGATTGAATTGGATTCACTATAATATTGTATTTTATTTTTTTTTCTGCAAACAACTTTTCGATCAGAAATTTGGGTCCAATCATCTTCAGTAGGTAGTGGTTTCCGGTTGAAAATTGTATTTGGTTCGTGAATTCAGGAGGTGTATTTTTAGTTTTCGTTGTAGTCTTATGAACAATAGGTAATTGAGAATGTCCGGAAAAAGTTGGAAAATTTACGTAATAGTGATTTCTGTCGATTCCGATATTTAAATTTGTTCAAATGAATTACCAGTTGAAACCATTTAATTTTTCAAGCTATTTAAATCCATTTTAAATTTCCCAGTTTTGTATGTTTTCATTCGATTTTATAACGATTGATGATGAATCTTGTTTGGTCGCGAAAAATACTCGAAAATTTAACATACAATTCATCATAAAATGTACTTCGTGGTCGAAAAAAAAAATCATGGGATTTCAAAACGTGTTTAACTTAATTTCTCTTGGAATTTAGTTGGTACACGTAAATGGGCAAATGCTATTGATTTTTCTTGCGATTTCCATAATGAATGAAAAGAAATGTTTGAAAAACTAACAAAAATCAGTTTTATAAAATATGACTATAAATAATCTGTTCAGAATCATTTTTTGTTAGCAACGTTTATCGTTGTCTATAAATTAAATAACTGTAATGTATTATTCCCTTCCAAAAACAGTATAACGTCCATGAGTTTTCACCCATGTTTTTTTATGTTTTTTTTTTTTTTTTTATTCACTAGTAGTTCCATCGACGCGTACTTTTTTAATATATTTTAGATTAATTAATATAGAAACTTAATAACGGATTTTACGATGTGATGATGTTTGATATTGGCCGAATATTGAGATAAACACAGGAAACGTGCATAATAAACGAAACGGGTAGTATATTAAAATACGACCGAAATTCTGGTCGGTTTGTAAATAAAATTTAAAAATAGTTTATTTAACGACCAACTGCGGGATTAATAGTAATAGGTATGCCATCGCTTTTATCTTTACCCACTCAGGCTCGTCGGCATATCGCGTAGATTATAATATTATTTCAAGGGGATTGGAAACCGATATTTTAGTTTTTCATTTACTTTGACACATACAACAATATTCAGACCAGCAATTTTCATGCGATCAGTTTGATCGGCAGTGCTCCTATTGGAAAAATAAACGTAGAGGGTATATAAAAAAAAAAAAAAACTAAAGTCTCTCGCATTTATTGTACTCTCGCTCCTACGCTCCTCTAATACTATTTTACAAACATAATTCAATCATCAGTAGCAAACAGAAAATAATATCAACAAAAAACTATCAATAATATCCTGCAGACTATGGTTTATTTATTTGTATGTTTATTAAAATTAATAGTATTATAAAGAAATTTAATTTAGATACATTTTATTTTTAATAAAAAAATGTGTATATTATTGTTTCATATTTTCGTATATAAAAAAAAAAAAAAAAAAAAAAAAAAAAAAATATGAAGGCGTCTAATTTTTTATTACCACACAATCAGTGGTTTATAATAAATTTTTAGAAGGGTGAGAAATAACTGTTTTACCATTTAAAAGAGTATGTGACAAATGACAACCCCACACTCAGTGTGATATAGGGCAAAAAGTGCAATAAAAAAAGGTAATAACGATATTAGTTTATAAAACTGAAAGAT